GTCTGTTGGGACAGATTTGACTTAATGCTATTGGATCAGGTCTCACAGTGGCTCTTTTTTCCTTCAGGCATTGATGAAGATGAAGTGACAGCAGAGGAACCCAGTACTGCTGTTCCTGATGAAATCCCACCCCTTGAAGGTGATGAAGATGCATCTCGCATGGAAGAAGTAGATTAGGGGGTTTATACTTAGAAACCTTTTGCTCTCTGTATAGTGTACCCACGGTTCCCACAGCCTTGAGTGGTCATGTCCCACTTGGCTTTCTCTGCTGATACCTAGTTTTTTTCTTTTCTTGCCTGTCCTTGGGTCTAAGGCAGGAAACTAGGGTCTGAAGCCCTGTTCCCTCCTGAGTTTGACCAAGTGGATTGAATGTTGTGTATTGTTTTTTTATTTTGTTTTGGAATTAAAAGTATGCAGAATAAAGAAGATGCAGTTTTATACAGTTCTGCTCTCCCTTGTAAAGTGGATATAATGCTGCCTTTATTTAGCTTCTCTACCCCCCTCCTAGCTCTTGCAAGTTTCTCTGTTATGTATTTATATATGTGTGTTGTATTAAGGTTCACTGGAATGTAGCAAATGGTACTTTAGCATTTACCCATGTAATGTCCTTTCATTCCTTTTCAGTCAACCTAAACACAGGAACAAGTCCATTGCGGCAATTAATTTAATAAAATAAAATTATAAGAGCAAAAAGTTACATTTCCAAAGTACCAAAACCTGCAACTGGCTCACAGCAGAGCCTAAGGATCCAGGAACATGGGGTGGTGTTGCCGGGCTGGGCTCTATTCCCCCTTCCTTAGCACAGCACCATCTTTTACCCTCCTGGGAAAGCAGCATTTGGAGCCTACACCATTTGTGCTTTTCTCACTGGAGTAAGAAGTACAGGTATCTGCAGAGGAGGGAGAATGAAAGGTGGCAGAGCCAACAGCCAGGGCAAGTCTTAAGGAAAACCTGAAGGAGAGGAGCTGTGCAAGGCACCTCTCCCCTCTGCAGCCTCCACCCCACCTACACCAAGGACTGTCAACCCTGGGGCTTGGGAAGACTGCCCAGGGGAGGATGGGTGGCTTAAGGCAAAAGGGGAAGGCTGCCTCCTGGCACCCACAGCTATAAAGCTGGTCTGATACTGAGAAAACACCTGCATTTTGCCCTGGAACCAGCATCTGATGAGTTACAGTAGGAGAGGAATACCAGCATGGTGAGGATCTTTTATACCCTTCAGTCCCGCTCTCCTCACACCTTCTGCACAGGGGATTCATTAGGCACAGCTTTCTTTCCTCTCTGCTTCAGACGTCCCCGGGCATAGACTCGAAGCAGGAGGGCTGTGAAGACCACAGCCACCCCTAGCCCTCCCACCACAGTGACTGTGTGGCCATAGAGAAGGCAGGAAAGAAGGATGGCAAAGGCCTGGCGTAAAGTCATGATGATGGTGAAAGCAGCTGCCCCAAACTGCCCAATGGTGTAGAAGATGAAGAGCTGCCCACATGCGGAGCAGACTGAGAGAAGCAGAGCATGGGCAGCAAACTCGCTGTGTCGTCCCATGAAGTGTGTCCCCTCCAGGAGGGCCCCCTGCTCTAGCAGTGAGCCTACTGTGAAGAGGCAGGAGAAGAAATTGACCCCAAACATCATCTGCACAGATGACATCTTATAGGCAAATAGGGCATCCTGCCAGTTCGACGTGAAGCTGTCAAAAGCAATGTAGCCTGCCAATAAGATTAGGCCTGAGAGTGTGGTGGCTGGGGAGCTGCGGGGCTCTGGTCCGCTGGACAGCAGAAACATGCTGACCCCAATGGAAATGAGGCCAGCTGTTAGGTATTCCCAATGTTCATAGCTGCGGCGAGACACCAGCTTTCCCATCAGCATGACAGGTATCACCTTAGAGGCCTTGGCCAGCACCTGGGTGGGGAAGCTGACAAATTTGAGAGCTTCGTATTGGCACCAGCTGCTAAGCACATTTGACAGGCTGGCAAAGGAATACCGGTACATGGGTGCCCCATGCCGGGGTTGCTTGCAGAGGATGCAGGCAAAGCCTGCCACAATTAGTGCCAGTACTCGGTTCATTAGCACCAGGAACTGTGAGTCTGTGAAGTGCTCGCCTGGTGATGTGGCTGTGGCTCCGTAACTGCGGGTCATCACTCTTTCCTGTAGCACACCCCAAGTCAGGTAAGACACCTGGGCGGAGGAGAGTGGAGACAAGACAATAAACCAGAAACAATTAAGTTTCACCCTGTTCCTCAGGATGTCTTAAAGGACAGCATACATTATTTGGTTCCCGTGTAATAACCTCTGCCCTACCCAGTCTGGATTCATCTTGTAGGGAATAAAGACTGCATGAAAAACTTTTAAGTGTTTTGAGACTGCCCAGATTTTGTCTGTACCCACAGTATGAGTATGTTACAGCCTATTGCTTCTAAAGTACTACAGTCAGCATCTAGCATCCCTTTGACATGTGGTACTGGGGCAAGGCTGAATGGCCCCTCAAACTTTTTACCAGTTTACAGTACAGAGACACAAAAATCTGGGGGAGGAGAGGAGTATAATAATGGTACTACAGAAATCACAGAAAAAAGGGCAAGGTGCGCCCCTCTCCTGCAGTACATATCGTTAATAGCACAGAATTAACTTTTAGTATCAGTGCTGGAGAGGGTTAAGAGGATGAGGAAAGAAAAGAAGCATCTTCCCACCCCCCCACCCCCAAACCTCTGAGATGGTGGTCCAGTGTACCCCTGAGAAGAGGGGGACATATCACACCAACCCACAAACCTTTGGAACTGGTATGATGGAAACTTGGGTTTCAGAGTCCCTGCCCACCAGGAACCAACCCTGGTCTTAAGAGAAGCAGAACCTGCCTGCCTGCCTACCTACCTGGAGCCCCACAGCACAGAAGAGTAGCTTCAGGGCCTGCCACATGGGAGTGGTCTCTGATGTCTCTGTCCGAGGAGCCAGAGGACCCTCCTCAGAGGCCTTGGGCTCATTGCCAAACACACAGGCTTTCACCAAGGGAAAGCAGAGACCCCTTCCTGAAGACGACACACAAAGTCAAGGCCAAAGTCTTCTCCATAATACTTCATCTTCACCAGGACAACCACCAGCCTGCCCTCTTGTCCAAACTATTGGCCTCCCTCCACCCTGTTCAAATCCTAGTCCTTCAGACCGCACCCAACCCCGTCTACCTGCTTCGCCGCCCTTTCTTCACACACCTGTCTCCAGGTAGTTCTTCCGCCTGAAGTATTGCACCAGGAGGTAGCCAGGTACCATAAAGCTGGCATAGCCGGCAGCATTCACCAGAAACCTGAAGAACCACAGCTGGGTCCAGGACTCTGGAGGGGCTTCAGGAGTCTCCCCGCCTGCCCCCAGGGAGGGGAGCGCAGCTAACACCACCACTGCCCACCACCTGCAGGGACAGTGGACCTAAGGATCAGGATGCAGTTCCTCATTCCCTCAGCGCTCAACAGGGGACCACACCGTAGAAGGGCCCAGAGTCTTCTCCCCGCCCCCCTCCGTTGCAGCCTAGCCGGACAAAGAGGCTCTCTCTCTCCGGGGGGAGCCAGCGTTGGCTGGGCAGGGCTTCCTCTTTCCCCGGGGCGGACCCGCCCCTCCGGCCACACAGGTCCCCTCTGTTCAGTCCAGTGCTCGCCAGCTGCTCAGGCCAGAGGCGGAGCCCCCTCCCCCCCGCCCTCCATGTCCCCAAAGCTCCAGGATCCCTAGCCCCTCCGCCGGACACTCCCGAAGCCCCCAAAGAGCACAAGACCACGCCACGGCCCCCATCGCCGCTGAGTCGGAGCAGCGATATGCCAGCCCACCGCCCAGCAGCCGGGACCCCACCCGGCCCCCAAGCCGAGGTGCGGCAGTCACGTGGCCAGGGGGCTCGGTCACGTGGACTCGCTGCTGCCCTAGCCCCCCACCTGGCGTCCATGGTCTAGGCGGCGTGGGGCGGAGGGGGCCGGGGAATGCTAGTCCCCGGGCCGCACGCGCCCTCCGCTCCCGCCGGCGCCTCTGGGAGCAGCCAGTGAGCTAGCGGCTAGCGGAAGTGCTGCGTTCTTCCCGCTTCCCTCCCCGCAGCCGCCCCTCCGCCCCTTACCGCGACCGCTCAGCGCACGGGACCGCCGCCGCGCCACAGCGCCCCCGCGCGGCCCGGAGGCAGACGCAGCCCAGTTCCTGGGAGGTGAGAGGCACCTGGGCGAGGAAGCCAGGAGCCCAGCACCCTGGAGGGTCCCGTACTTTCTTCTACTCCGTGGTCACCCTTGACCCTCGTGGGTATCCCAAAGGTAGTGGTGACCATTGTCATCTTGCAGACAGGACATTAGATTCTGCTTTTCCTGTTTTATGACAGAATGATGTTCCCTTCCTTTCTCAGCTGGGCCAGCAATTCTGTCCCCTCATTCTCCATGACCTTTGAGGCTCAGCATGACCTGGCCCATCATCTTCGCCCATTCACCCATCCCCTGTAGAGGCCCCCACTGGCCTGCTGTCAGTTCCTCTAGCCCACCGAAGGCCCATTTGAGATGGCACTCCTCAGATAGAGAGGTCCCTGGACTACTCAAAGTATGGTCTTCCATCCACACCATTGTTCTCCTTCCCACTATTCTTTCCCTTCACAGCACCACAGCAACTTGTAATTACATATTTATTTGTATGTTACTTTAATGGCTGTCTCACTCACTAGATTAGAAGCTCCAAGTGGCCAGCAACTAGGTATGTTGGTTTATTTCCACCCTACCCCCACCCCCACCCCCGTTTTCATGCCAGGATAGGCCTGACCTAGCAGGGCCCTCAAAGGTGTGGAATGGAAGGAAAAATGTAAAAAGTCACACCTCCTTTCTGCCCAGCCTCCCTAGGCTACCTTTCTCCCCAGATGGTAGCCTCCAGCGCAGTGATGAGACCTCCAGGGTTTGTGTCTTCTCATCCCTCCTCCTCTCCTGTCACACAGGAAAGGCAAGGGTCTGTGCTAGACAGAGAAGGGCCTGAGGACTATTTACTGCCTCCCCCTGCCCCCAAGACCCTCCTGTACTCAGAGGACAATTTCCTTCTCTCTGCCTCTACTACAAGGTCACAGGGCAGCCCTGTCTAAAAATCTCTAATGCACACAGATATGCATGCACACAAAACAATTCTAGAAGGGAAAATCTTTTTAGAAGTCTCTTCCATTTTAGTGTCATGTTACTGAGTTTTCTCCTCCCCAAAGACTTAGGTAAGAGACTTCTGTGTGAAGTCTTTTTAAACAACAGTGTTTTAGAGTCCTCAGCAGGAGTAAGATGGGACCTGTTAGGGCCCTGCTTGATCCTTTTTGAGTCTCTTCTCAAAGAGTCCACTGGTTTTCCCACTGGTGGGCAGTTTCAGGCCAACCCAACATGGGTAGAAACAACAGCCCCTGCCATTTTCAGGAGAGGCAGACAGGCTTCACCCAAGATACATAGGGGCTTTGGCGGTCTTCCAAGAATCTCCATCCACCTGGGAAGCTCTTCCTTCTGGACTGGCTCTCTCACTTGCAATCCCTCCTGACTGTACTGATCCCAGGCTCTGGCCTCAGCAGTCCCTAGGACACCAGAAGGGCACATTGCCTGGGTCCAAACTGTAGCAGTTATGACACCAGCTTCCAGATGTAAGAGGTGGAGCTACCAGAGTCCCAGCCCCTGCCCTGGTTTCAGTCCGCATACATCAGCAGCTTCCATTGGCACACACCAGTGGCTTCCCCGAGATCTTCAAGTCATCAAAGGGCAAAAGAACAAGGGGCTGAGAAGGAGAATGGAGAGGCATGATTAGGGACATAGGACAAGGCAGCTTGGGAGGAAGGACTGTGGAAACCTGTCAGGCCACTCCCTCCCCATCAAATGACAGTTGAAGACTACTAGAGAACAATACTTTACACTAATCCCTAGAATAGGAGACCCTCTGTGAGCCCTGAAGCCTTAGGCAAGCCCTCCTTTTTTAAGGTAATGCTAGAATACCTAAACTAGGAGGGACCTTAAGAGCTGATCTAGCAGCTGACCCACTGAACTGGGGGTTTTTTGTTGTTGCTGTTGGGAGGGAGAGGGAAAGGTACTCACAAAACATGATTTTTTTTTTTTTTTTTACATTGAACATTTAAAAATAAGAAAGACTAGGGCAGTGCCTGTGGCTCAAAAGGGTAGGGCACCCGACCCATATGCCGGAGGTGGCAGGTTCAAACCCAGCCCTGGCCAAAAAAAAAAAAAAAAATAAGAAAAGACTATATAGAAAATCTGGGTTTTACCTTTCAAAAAATTCTAAGACCTGGAAACACCGTGCCCACCTTTTTTCTTCTTTTTTTGTGACAGTTTCAATCAGTCATCCTGTGATTGAGTACCATGGTGTTATTGCTCACAGTAACCTCAAACTTCTAGGCTCAAGCGATTCTCTTGTCTCTGCCTCTTGAGTTGCTGGGACTACAGGCGCCCACCACACCTGACTATTTTTAGAGATGGGGTCTTGCTGTTGCTCAGGCTGGTCTCTAACTCAAGAGCTCAAGCGATATGCCTGGCTCAGCCTCCCACAGTGCTAAGTTGACAGGCGTGAGTCACTGCACCTGGTCTCATGCCTACCTTCTTACTGAAGCTGAGTACAGAGATCCTCAGGCATGGCTCACAGGCCTTACCACCACATTGCCTCTCATCTCGACAGCTTTGCTGATTCACTTTAGCTGCAGAGCCCCTGAAGGAACTCTCTGGTCCTGACCAACTAAGGAAATAGGTTTGGAGAAGGGCAGAGACTGGCTTAAGGTTCCACAGTTGGTGAGTTTCGCAGAAGCTAGTTACACCCTAGAACTCCTAACTCCCTGACCCTTTCAGCTAATGACAGCACTGTTTTTGCTATGGGTATGGGAGGCCCTGTAAAGCAAAACAGAGAATATGCCTCTTACTTCCTCAGTCAGGTCTTGGGGTGTCTCATCTTCCACATTCCGTAGCAGGGAGTCAGCACCTGCCTTGCACAGAGTGGATGAGATGCCACTGAGACCTCGGCCAGCTGCCAGGTGCAGGGGAGTGCACCCATTCAGCATGCGGGCATCCACCCGGGCTCCAGACTGGAGCAGGAACTGCACCAGGCCTCGCTCCTGGGTTTCCACTGCCAGGTGCAATGCTGTCTTCCCACTGGTGCCCTCCTGGAGAGGAAGAAGGATGTCACCAAGGCCCTCAAGAGGCAGTGTACTAGGCCTGGGCTCTGGTAAGGAGATGAACACCACTGCTTCTGACTGCTGGGCAAGGGATGTGGGACCCAACCAGGTGGGTGGCAGGCCCTGGACCAGGCAGCATCCTGCCTGGTTGCCTCACCTGTGCATCAATATCAGCTCCATTCTGAAGCAGTAGTTCCATGAGTGGCTGGTTCCTCTTCAGGGTGGCGATGTGGAGACAGGTCAGACCTGGGATGGGGCGAGGGTGGGGGCTGCTGATCTGCATTCACCAACTCCCTCTCTTCCTTTCTTCAGGGACCTCCTTACCCTTTAGCCCCAAGGGACTCACTGCCCACTCAATGTTGCTAATCACAGGACTATTAAAACACACACCCAAAAACCCCTTCAAAAGTCTAAGGGGAAAGGAACTCAAAGTTTCCACCTTTTCAGAGTCATGTTATTGAAACTTTCATGCTTCAGGGATCAGGTTGCTGAGTGACACTCCCCCAAATCATGCCCTCCTCTCCAATACACATACCTCCTATACATGCATTGTAAAGTTCCTGTCTTCTGCCTTCAAGCCCAGGCCAAAAGCCATCTTTGCTGAAACTCCAAGTGAGATCCTCATGCCCCTACCCCTGCCCCAGGGCCTACTTCCTCCTCTGTGCTGCCCTGGGCTTTTTGCCGTCTCCTTTCTGGTCTGGACCCCACCTCATACCCCTCTGGCTTAGTAATAAGAGATTTAGTTTCAAATTTACACTCTTCACCTCCTTCAAGTCTCTGTTCAAATGTCTCTGGCTCCACAAGACCCTTCCTGACCACCTGATTTAAAAATCATATTAACTCTCTCATTCCCCTAGCTCTCCTCTACCTTTTCCAATAGTACTTCCTTTTGATACTATATAATTCACTTCTCATATTTATTGTCCATCGCAATCTTTCTCTCTCTTTTTTTTTTTTTTTTTTGAGACAGAGTCTCACTCTGTCCCCAGGCTAGAGCGCTATGGTGTCAAAGCTCACAGCAACCTCAGACTCCTGGGCTCCAGTGGATCCTCCTGCCTCAGCCTCCTAGTAGCTGGGCCACAGGTGCCAAAAGTTTTCTGACTTTAACCACAGCCTCTGTAAAACATACACAATTTTT